TTTTCAGCATTAATGGAGCATCACGGAAGTGCAAGTTACCTTTGCTAAGGGCACTGACACAGCCTCATACCATGACACATCCTGGCTTTTGGACTTGTTGCTGGATGATCCTTTTCTTCTTTGTACCAGAGCACACGGCATCCAATTCTCCCAAATAACACCTGAAATACTGATTCGTCTGACCACTGTACATGTTTCCTCTGTGATGGTCCCTCCCAGATGCCTCAGAGAAGCCAACGGCGCTTCTGGACACTGTTAACATAGGGCTTTCTTTTGGCACAGTACACTTTTCACTGGCATTTGTGGATGTAACTAAGCATTGTGGTACTTGACAAAGGTTTGCCAAAGTAGTCCTGAGCCCATGTGGTAATCTGGCTTATAGATGCATGAGGATTTTTGATGTAGTGCCCCCTAAGGGATCGGAGATCACGATTGTACAGCTTAGGTTTGCACCTTTGTCCTTTACACACTGAAATTCCTCAAGACTCCTCAAATCTTTTAATGATGTTCTGCACTGTTGAAGGTGAAATATCCAGATGTCTTCCTCTCTTTCTTTGAGGAACATTGTTTTTATACATTTTAATAATTATGTCATATATTTGTTGGCAAACTGCAGATCCTCTGCCCATCTTTGCTCCTAAAGGACTAGATCAGGGGTGGCCAACCCTGTTCCTGGAGAGCCACCTTTCTGCAGATTTTAGTTGCAATATCAAACACACCTGCCTGTAATTATCACATGTTCAGGTCCTAATTATTTGGTTCAGGTGTGTTTGATATGGGTAGCAACTAGGGGTGTCACGATTTCGATTTTTAATCGAAATTGATCGAAATTTATGCTCAATTTCGATTATCGAATCAAAAAATAGAATTGTCGATGCTGCCACGCCCCCATGTCATATCAGCTTGGCTTGCCAAGCGGGAAAAAAACAGGCTTGTTGAAGTGCTTGTTAAACTGCAGAAGCAGGAGACCCGTCGACAGAGCTTAAATCCTCTCCTCTTTCAATGAAGTCGCCGGTGTGGAAGCATTTTGGATTTCCAGGGAGTTATGTTGACAACGTTCGTGCTGTCGACAAAAAAAAACACAGTTTTGCAAGCTCTGCTATGTACGTATTACGTACGGTTCGTTCGATAGACAACACCGGCATCGCGATCCTCCGCTCGCCCCCGTTGCAAATCCGCTGGCGAACAGTACACACTCAGGCCCTGTTTACACTGTCTTTGTATTTAAATGGCATTTTAGAACGACAACGATTTGACATCCACAGTGGCGTGTAGCATTTCTGAGCAGCCCTCCTTCCTCTCTACCTCTGAAAATGCACATCACGTGACCACACAGACACAGCCATGCGCTCGAGACAGCAGGTCCAGGCAGTCAGAGGACTGCTTCAATCTTTCACTCACTTGTACTTAGTCATTTTAGTGAACACCTCAGATACTGTTGGCTGGTTCCTGTTGGTTGTGCGTCTTTTTTACCGACGCCATTATAACGACACAGATCACTGCGTATTCACGAGTCTCGCAGAAAAAGTGATTGACAGGTGGTAATTATGTGTGTATCTTGCCTTTATTCATTTACTGTATGATTTGTTTATGGGTAAAACAAAGACCATCCAGGTCAGGTAGTTTAAACGGTAGGCTACAAATAATTAATTGGTCATTAATTATTTATTCATAATGGAAAATCGAATCGAATCGTGCCTTTAGAATCGAAAATGTAATCAAATCGAGGATTTGGAGGATCGTGACACCCTTAGTAGCAACTGAAATCTGCAGGAAGGTGGCTCTCCAGGAACAAGGTTGGCCACCCCTGCACTAGATCTTTCTTGGAATCTGCTTTTGTACCAAATCATAATTACAATCACCTGTTGACATCACCTGTTTCACACCACATCAATATTTAACCAGTTTACCTGATTACAAGCCCTAAATTGCTCCCGTCCCAACTTTTTTTTGGAGTGTGTTGCATGTCTTCAGGTCAGGTAAGGATGTATATTTACAAATGAAATGAAGTTGACCGGACAGAACATGAAACATTTTGTGTTCGTATTGTCTGCAATAAAATACAAGACTGGCATTTCTATACTTGTGGGGGTGTGTGGTCCTCACATTGGGGTTTACAGGGACACTTCATAGGCGTAATGTGTTTTTTACAGAAAAAACTGCTTATTATATGGCCCTACACCACCCCTATCCTAAAACCACCATAATAGAGTACAATTCCCTGCTGAAAAATCCAGCTTAAACTAGCCTAGGCTGGCTGGCTGGTTTTAGCTGGTTGACCAGCCTGGTTTTAGAGGGATTTTGGCCATTTCCAGGCTGATTTCCAGCCATTTCCAGCCTGGTCTTAGCTGGTCAGGCTGGAAAATGACCAGCTAAATCCAGCTAAAACCAGCTTGACCAGCCTGGTTTAAGCTGGACATAGCTGGTTTTGGCTGGGCTCCCAGGCTGGCTAGGCTGG